TATGCCTTAGAAATGTATTGTGTGATTCAAAGGTATTTTTGTATAATAAAATCTATGCTTAAAAGTAATTGGGGTGTTTTGGGAAGACAATAAAAAGTCAATTTTTTGATTTTTTAATTTTTTTATACAAAAAAATCACAAAATATCATTAAAAAACCCAACTTTTTTAATACAAAAAGTCAAAAAATTACAAAAAAAAAAAAAAATTAAAAATTAATTTTTTACTAACTTTCCAAAACACCGCTCTCCACCACACATGGATCAAAAACACGAAAGGGGGCTGGGTTGAATATTTGCCCCTTCGGACTTTGAAATAGTCCTTGCAGCTTGGCCTAGTCCAATTATTATCTTATATTATATAAATAATATATTATATATAAAATATATGTATATATATATGGGTATATACCATAGTGTATGTATAATTTATGTAGTTTTATAATTTTTAAGTAAAGAAAATATATTTAAGGAAATTCATCCACCAAGATTAAAACTTTAAGTTGTGTTTAGAATAGAATATGACATGGATAGGCCCACAAGGCACACGGCCCACGGTAAACCACCCCGAACCCAGTGCTTGGGGCCAATGGCACAACCCGGTTGCTTGGGTGACAAGGCCCAGAACAGCTTTTTTATGATGAATAATAATTTTATTCATAATATATATTTTAATTATTTTTTGTTGAATAAAACGTGAAAATAAATATTATGATGAAGTTTTCATTGCACTTGCAAATATTACTTTAATATAAATATTTAAAGTGATCGCGTCAACTAAACTATAAAAATAATGTATAACTACAACAATTTAGAATGGTAATATTATTTTAGACTAGGGCTTAAAATATAATATATGGACTTCAGATCGAGTCTGGTCAAAAAAATGACTAAAAACGTTAACCCCAAATAGGTCTGTAACAATTTCATTTTTAATTTTTAATTTATATTTACAAAATTTTTAAAAATTGTCATAAAAAATTTTTTGATAATTTTTTTAATTGATAAATAGTTGTCTTAGTTTGTAAATTTAAGGAAAAAATGTAAACTCAAAAAACGAATTTACGTTGGTTTTTAAATCCAAATTTAAAATTTTAACTAATAATTTTTTTTTCAATTATTTTCTCAAATAATTTTGTTTTTCAAATATTTTTTTTTCCAATTATAATATGTAGGATTCCATTGTCATAAATAATAAATAATAAATATAAATATTTTAGGTTTGGACAAACATATTTTTTAGTTTATGTTTTTAAAAAATTTCAAACATTTTGTTCAAATCAAACGTATTTGTAATTTATGTTTTTCTAAAAATAAACAAAAATCAATTTATAAAATTTTTTTAAATATAAATAAAAAACGTAAACGTTACCAAATGCTATCTAATAAAGTCAAGTTTTTTTTTTAGCTCTTGTATTGTTTTCAATATTTTCTCATTTGTTGGGTTTTAGTGATCTATTCTTGATTCAGGGAAAGAGACAAATGTAGACATAGCTGAATTATTTCAACACTAATGTGCCGTTTGTTTCGCAGAAAAATTCTCAAACGGAAAACTTTTTTAGAAAATTTTCATATAATTTTTTTTTATTTTTTTATATTTAGGTACTATTTGACATAAATTATCTCACATTAATTCTTTACCTTTCTACACATCTTTTCGTAAAAAATTAAAAAGTACGCTTATTTAAATTATCTCAAACAAACCCTTAGTTACAACTTTGAAACTAACACACTAAAGATTAGTTGGACCGTGAAGGTGGTGGAAGTAGTGGTGATAGAATGATAGCGATAGTGAAAGAAGTAGAGGCTAGGTTTCGGAGAGAAAGAGATGGTGGTAATGGAGTTCGGATCCTCGGTCGCCCTCTCTGCGGCCCTCTCCTGCGGTGTCTCAAAACGACGTCGTTTTGGGACAAAATTTTAATTAAAAAAATTAAAAAGAAAAGAAAAGACAGAACAGAGCAAACCAGAGAAGGGAGAAGAAGGAAGGCAGCAGCACTACACATCTTTTCGTAAAAAATTATAAAGTATACTTATTTAAATTATCTCAAACAAACCCTTAGTTACAACTTTGAAACTAACACACTAAAGATTAGTTGGACCGTGAAGGTGGTGGAAGTAGTGGTGATAGAATGACAGCAATAGTGAAAGAAGTAGAGGCTAGGTTTCGGAGAGAAAGAGATGGTGGTAATGGAGTTCGGATCCTCGGTCGCCCTCTCTGCGGCCCTCTCCTGCGGTGTCTCAAAACAACGTCGTTTTGGGACAAAATTTTAATTAAAAAAATTAAAAAGAAAAGAAAAGACAGAACAGAGCAAACCAGAGAAGGGAGAAGAAGGAAGGCAGCAGCAGACCCTTGGTCTCTTCCCACCATCTCGATCTAGATCTAGGGTTTGGCCGCTTCCACTCCCTAGTCGCCACCGTCGCCCAATCACCTCATTGTATAAGTACACACTCTCTTCCTCGTTCTATCTCTCAAACATACGCAATAGCAATTGAAGAACCAACCCGGTTTCGCAGGCCTCCACCACCGCCAAATTGAACCACCAGGTGGTCGGTTTTCTTAAAAAATCAGGTTTTTTTCCTGGGTTTTGCTAGTGAACTGTGGGTTGATGGCAACGCCGGTGGTAGAGGAGGTGGGTTATGGTGGTTGATTGATATAAATGGACGGTGAATGATTTGGTGTTGTGGGTATTTGGTAGATTAGGATGAGAAGGTGAATTTGATGCTAGCTCAAATTCTGGATCCTCGTTTTCCTTTACTGATTGGTGGTTTCTTCAGGTACAATTCATACTTTTGCTTGCATTTGTGGTTTTTGTCCTTTTTGGCTTTGTTGAATGGTTGGTGGGTTTTCAATTTTTTTTTTTGTGTTTAATTTTGTGGGTTTTTCTTATATATGTTTATAAAGTGTTGATGATTTGGAATTTTGATAATTTGTTGTTGAGGAAATTTTGTGTTCTATTCACCTTTGTTGTTTATTCGACCCATTGAACATACACAGGTAACAGATGATTGGGCCACGACGACTACCTTCCTTCTTCTCCCTTCATTCTTCTGCTGCCTTCCTCCTTCTCCATTCTTTCTTCTTCTCCCCTCTCAGGTTTGCTCTGTTTTGCCTTTTTTTTTTTAATTGAAATTTTCCTCCAAAACGACGTCGTTTTAGGACACCACTAGAAGAGCTGCAAGAGAGGATAGCCGAGGATCCAAACTCGTGGTAGTGGCGTTGGCAATGCCGATAGTAATGTGAGGACATTAACAAACTTGTTTTCTTTGACACAAGAAGAAAGTTTTCATTGAATTTATTTTTCATCATATCAAAAATTAAAAAAATACAAATATTTAAATGGAGCTATAACTAAAGGATTCCATTGGTTGCCTTGAGAAATAATCAAAGCCACATGTAACTGATATAAACTATTGGCCTTGTCTATTATTATGGTTGGCATGTGATGGGCTCAGTAGGGTCTAAAAGTCATAAATGGTCTTTCCCATTGTTCTCATGACAATTTATGATAGCATGTCCTATCTACTCTCTGCTCTATCTGTGAACATGTGATGGCAACATCACTCAACTGCACTGCACGGCGACCATTGACCATGGCAGCAAATGGGGTTCAAAGAATCCAAACAAGACAGCGAATTTTTGAATCGTGTGAAAAGAAATCCCTCATCTGAATCCTAATGTAATGTTAAGTACAAAAATATAAAGACAGTCGCATCTCTTAAGCTAGTTTTTTGAGTTATATTCTACCCAAAAATATGTAACATTGTATGAGAGTCGGAGTCCTTAGGAATGGATAGGATACGTGTTGTTAGCCTGTATGTGTTGCCGATTGAGCACGCTAGGGGTGAGGCTGTAAAATGAAGTCCCACATCGCCGTTGAGCATATGAGTGTGAAAAGACCCTCACCTCTCACCAGTTGCTGACATGACTGGTGTTTGTTAACCCCCCAATCTTCCTGTGGTGTTTCTTGCTTTTCTGTTCTGTTTTGAACCTTCCTCTAAATCACCAAAAAAAAAAAAGGGAAAAAAAAATTAAAGAAAAAAAGGTTGTTCCAACTCAAGTGGAACAAACTCAAGGTGTCTTTACTGTTAAACATTAAATCAGATGGTCAAATACGAACAACTTGTGCAGACTTCTTTCACAGAATCACAAAACATTAGATGATCTGCCTCACAGCGTTCTGTGACTAGAATGTCATCTAGCAAGAACAACATCATGAATGGAACAACTACATCCTTGAAAGATTCAAAAAGATCTATTATATAACAGTTTGATAGCATGTCCTATCTACACTCTGCTCTATCTGTGAACATGTGATGGCAACATCACTCAACTGCACTGCACAGCGAGCATTGACCATGGCAGCAAATGGGGTTCAAAGAATCCAAACAAGACACGAATTTTTGAATCGTGTGAAAAGAAATCCCTCATCTGAATACTAAGGTAATGTTAAGTACATAAATTTAAAGACAGTCGCATCTCTTAAGCTAGTTTTTTGAGTCATATTCTCCCCAAAACTATGTAACATTGTATGAGAGTCGGAGTCCTTAGGAATAGATAGGATTCTTGTTGTTAGCCTGTATGTGTTGCCGATTGAGCACGCTAGGGGTGAGGCTGTAAAATGAAGTCCCACATCGCTGTTGAGCATATGAGTGTGAAAAGACCCTCACCTCTCACCGGTTGCTGACATGACTGGTGTTTGTTAACCCCCCAATCTTCCTGTGGTGTTTCTTGCTTTTCTGTTCTGTTTTGAACCTTCCTTTAAATCACCAAAAAAAAAAGGGGGAAAAAAAATTGAAGAAAAAAAGGTTGTTCCAACTCAAGTGGAACAAACTCAAGGTGTCTTTACTGTTAAACATTAAATCAGATGGTCAAATACGAACAACTTGTGCAGACTTCTTTCACAGAATCACAAAACATTAGATGATCTGCCTCACAGCGTTCTGTGACTAGAATGTCATCTAGCAAGAACAACATCATGAATGGAACAACTACATCCTTGAAAGATTCAAAAAGATCTATTATATAACAGTTTCACTAATTTAGGAAAAACCACCACTTTAAAAAAGCAAATATTTGATTAATACAAGTGTTTACATGTGAAAATCCACCATAAACTTCCATACCTAAGCTACAACAAACTAGACCATAAAGACATTTCACAACAGAGCTCAGTCCTCAGCTGAAGGACACAGCAAATAACAACAATATCGCGAACAAGTGATGAAGACACAGTTAGTGCAGTTACCCAGTTCTCAGGCAATCGCTGAATAATCAAATCAAGTCGGTCACAAAAATCAGAAACAGTTAGTGCAGTTACCTAGTTCTAGAATGATTGCTACGATTGCATCCATGCACGGCCTCTGATCTGGAGATTCATTGGTGCACATCAAAGCAACTTTCGCAAGCTTTGCAGCTTCGTATTCAGAGAACCGGCCATGAAGATTTGGATCAATGAAATCAGCAAATCTGCATAACTCAGCAGCAACTCGTATGGAGCTCACAAGTTTCCTCTTCCCTGATAGGATCTGTAAGACAAGTACACCAAAAGCATAAATGTCGCTTTTCTCTGTGAACCGGCCTGTGTTGGTGTACTCGGGAGCTAGATATCCCATGGCAGCACATGCCTTGAGTGCTGAGAAGACTGTGTCATTGGTCAGAAGTTTGTGTAGGCCTGAATTAGAGAGCAAAGGTTTGAATCGCTGGTCGATGAGCACCTTCTCTGCTGATATGTTTTGGTGAACTAAAGCAGGTTTGTTCACAGTGCACCCATGTAAATACTCTATGCCTGCTTACAAAGATGGACAAAGCTTAAAAAGCAAATTAAGTCTATACTCTATGGTGAACTAAAGCAGGCTTGTTCACAGTGCACCCATGTAAATACTCTATGCCTGCTTACAAAGATGGACGAAGCTTACTTTTTAAAAAAAGCAAATTAAGTCTATACAGTAAAATCAATGTAAAAAAGAGTAATCCATAAATATTTTTGATGGAAAGTCCAATATGGGAAGACACAAAATCTTGAAAATGTACAGTGAAAGATTAGTTTGAGAGAGAAGCTAGAGAGCAAAGAATGAGAGAAGCTAGAGAGCAAAATGTTTTCTGTATTATGTGTTGTGTCTTTACAAGAGAAATGAACTCTCTCTTTATAGAGAGAAGAAATAACATTGGATACCAAGTGATGATTGAAACCACCGAAAGAATAAAGTGAAAAGAGAAAGTTATACAATTAGCAATATTATATTAACAGCCCACAGTGCACCCATGTAAATACTCTATGCCTGCTTACAAAGATGGACAAAGCTTACTTTTTAAAAAAAGCAAATTAGTCTATACAGTAAAATCAATGTAGTAAAGAGTAATCCATAAATATTTTTGATGGAAAGTCTAATATGGGAAGACACAAAATTTTGAAAATGTACAGAATCCCAATTGTTTGAAATGGGTTTTTCTTTAATTAGCTCCTAAGAGGCTCCGACAATCATCGGGTCACTTCCTAACACATGTCAGACATTTGTCTAAAACATGTTTTACTATTTTTAAAAAATGTCTAGACTCGTACATTCTTAAAAAAACTTGGTAAACATATATATTACTTAGACACACATGAAATACATTACAAATTTAAATAAAATAACTTAAAATTCAATTATAAAAGAATTTTTTTTAAAATTGTTATTTTTGGAATAAATGGTCATGTATATGGAATATAATAAATATATAAATAATATATTTTGTACATGTCTCTCATGTGTTGTCTCTCATGTTTTTTTTGGAAAATTTTCTTGTTATGTCAAGTGTTCAGGTCCATGACCCCTTGGAATTGAAGTTTTACGGATGAACTCAAAATGAAGCAAGGAAAATGGCTTTTTGGAATCTAAATTGAAAATGTGATCATTACAGGCCTTCTATCTAACAATCAAAACAATTTTCTGTTGTAGCATGTCTAAAAAAACATTTTGATGAAATAAATGCCATAAATTGCCTTTTTAAAAGCCCCTTTTGTTGATGATAATTATAATGAATGGTGAATCCATGCCTACAAAAATCAATGCAAACGAAATTAATCAGTTTGAAACTTCAAGAAATAAAAAACAATAACTGACCTTTGGCAATGCCACTGATGATAGAAACTCTGGTGGGCCACTCAAGCACCGGATTATCCCCCTCCTTCAGGTCAAGATAGTGCAGCAAATTCCCATTTGGAATAAAATCGTAAATGAGAAAACATTCACCGCGGCCTTTCGAACAGCAAAACCCTCTCAACCTAACCAAATTTTCATGTCTCAACGTAGTCAAAATGTTCAGCCCCTTCAAGAACTCAGCTTCCTCGGACTTGCAGCTAGTTTTCGTGATCCTCTTAATAGCAACAAGCGATCCATCTCTCAAAATTCCACTATACGTTGCCGAGAAGTTGCTCTTACCCAAGAAATTTTTTTCAGCAAAGCATCGAGTAGCGGACTCTACCTCTTCCAAATTGAACCTAAAGCTTTGCAAAACCTCTTGGGTGAAACAACCGAAACTGCGACCATCTGCCAATGGGTCCCACCCATTGGAGTACTCAAGGCTGATAAGGGGAGAGCCGTTCTTCTTGTAAATCTCCACGGCCTGGTCAGTACTTACGCGGATATCAGATATATCAAATGCACTCCCAAGTCTCTGTTTTCGCCGACGAAATTGCAAAAAGGTCAGAATTCCTAGAGCTGACAATCCAATAGTAACAATAATTACTCCAATAGCAATAGAAGCTCGTGGGGTTTTAGAGGAATTCGAGCATCGAGTTTGGCCGCAATTCAACTTCAAGTTTGCTGTCTCAGGGATGTCTCTTGTTGAGAGACCAGTTGTACCACTCGCATAAGGTTCAGGCCTGTTTGGATCTATTTGATCTGAAGTAGTGCAAGTTCTCAAAGCTGAAAATCCAACTCCACATAATCCAGGGTTGTTTTTGTATTGAAACCCTTCAACTAATCTCTTCAGAGCTACACGATCCACAACGAAAACAAAACCAAACAGGGTTTTCAATGTTTCAAACATTTTTATTGTTACATTAAAAATTAAATGTAAGTCATATGTGAGTAATAAACTTTCTTACTGGGAGGTACATTGCCGGAAAGAGTATTATTTCGGACATTTAGATTTTCCAGCAGAGGAGCATCGGCTAGTTTTGTGGGAATCGAACCAAAGAGGCGATTAAAACTCAAGTCTAGCCTCACTAACATTCCCAAATTCCCTAAGCTTGCGGGGATAGCACCACTCAATTGATTTGATTGAAGAGCAAGAACACTAAGCTTTTTCAGAGACCCCAGTTGTGTTGGTATGCTTCCAGTGAACTGGTTATAACAAAGCTGCAAAACTACAGAGCAAATGCAAAATACAAGCAAAGTTTTAGAATCATAAAAACAAGAACAAAAACCCAAAAGCCAAAAGCCAAAAGCCAAACCGCTAAACAAGATTAACACTTCACAAAGAAAACACCCACGGAATAGTTTGCATAAGGAGGTTAAAGATTAATAAAAACTATCTCCAAAAAAAAATATTGAACAGCGCAGAAATCTCAAAGAAAACCAATATGATTAAACATAGATGCAGAAGAACATAAGTTTTCTTAACAAGATTGAACAGTTATATTCTCAAATTTGGGACCTCAATATACTGTCCGAACTACAGAGAACCCAGATGTTAAACTCCAAAAATACAACACACACAAAACCTCAGACAAAAAGCAAAGTAGGATCTCCATCACGTTCATTCAGCAATATGAGTATAGCACAAGAAAACAGAGAGAGAGAGAGAGAGAGAGATGTAAAAACCGTTTGAGAACAATATACTCCAACCATAGAAAGAAAAACCCAGAAACATTGTAGTATCTCACATTCAACATTCTTAAGAAAACTTGGAGACAACCCATTTGCTTAAAAAGATAGAAGACCGTTTTGAGTTCAGCTGAAAATAGAAAACCCACACACACACACACACACACATATACATATATATATATATATATAGAGAGAGAGAGAGAGAGAGAGAGAGAGACTCCACCCATAGAAAGAAAAAACAAGAAAGTATCTCACATTCAACATTCCTAAGAAAACTTGGGAATAATCCATTTGCTTAAAAAGATGGAAAGCACATTTGAGTTCAGCTGAAAATACAAACATAAACACACATATATTATCTATATATATATATAGATGGAGAGAGAGAGAGAGAGGGAGGGAGGGAGAGAGAGAGAGAGAGAACACATGAACCACCGACCAACCTTGTAAACTAGCCATGTTCCCAAGTTCAGGAGGAATGTTGCCAGATAGATTGTTGACATTGAGGTAAATATCACTCAGCTGAGTCAGATTCGAAATCTGTCTGGGTATTTCTCCACATAAAGAGTTATAATGCAAGTAAAGACCCGTCAAGTGCTTGAGCCCACCAATCGCCGGAGACAACTTTCCGGCGAGCCCTTTGCCCTGCAACGAAATGTTAGCCACCTGACCCTTCTCATTACACGCCACGCCCTCAAACGAACCACCACAAGGATCACCCAAAACAGTCCATGAGGTCAAAAACCTGTTCTCTGGGTCAAGACTAGCCTTGATGTCCATGAGTGCTCTGAGTTCGGCAATTCCACAAACAGGTGGAGCGTGAGTGAGTGTGATGAAAAGGAGGAGAGAGAAGAGAAATGCTGGGAAACCCATTACTGATTTGGGCTCAAATGGACGAAGATAAACTCTTTTCTGTCTAGAAATGTTTTCTGGTGCTGGGTTTTCTTGCTATTCTGGTTCTCTCTCTCTCTCTCTCTGTGCTTGTCTTTGTTTTGTTTTGACTTGCAGAACAGAGACCGAGGGTTCGAATCTCACGGAAGTGTCCACACAGAACCGAAAGTAACTCTTCACTCTCTCTCTTGGACAATGAGAAGAAGGCTGGTGAGGAAGAGACAAAAGTTGCAGAGAAGTCCATACTGTCGCAATGAAAACACAATGAATGAGAGTGTACGACCCTGATTGTCCCACCTCAGCAATGAAGTGGGGACGATTTGACGTGGCAAGATCAGAGGGGATGAGATATTTCAGGCTCGAAAGAGAGCAAACAAGTTGGGCCGTTTGACATGATGACCTTCTGAATGAGTATGAGGATTCATGGACGCTCAAGCTGTATGTATTGAGCAAGGATCCTCTAGAGTGATTTGTCAGTAAATCTCAATCACACAATATAGCACTCTAGAAAATTTTAGAAAAATTTCACTCTAAAGGATCCTTGGTGTTATGTATTATGTGGGTGTTATGTATTATGTGTCAGGTGAAGAGAATAGATTTGTGGGTTTTCGTACCATTCCATTAAAAGACAATATTTGAATTTAATAAAAAGTACTAGTGTATTAATGGTCGTATTAAGCTTAAGTTTGGCATAATTAAAAAAGACAAAAAATTAAAAAGTTACTATCTTATTTAAGTCATATCATCTTATTTAAGTCACATCATTTCTCTAACACATCACTTCAAACCCAACCCAAACCCAACCCATATTTCATAAAAAGTCAAAAAGTGCACTTATTTAGTCTTCCCAAACTAAGACTAATTATGAAAATTTTTAATACACATTCCTTTTAAAAAAAATATATCATATATATTTTTAATTATAAGATAATGTTAAGACTGTAAAAATTTTTAAACCCACCTGAACTACCAGAAATCAAACACACTATAATGAACACAAGATTTACGTGGTTCAACTTCAATGCCTACGTCCCCAGAGAGAACCAGAAATTTCCGCTAAAAACAAATAGAGATTACACAGAGGAGGAGACTCTCTCACTCACTCTCTACTGCCTTATACTTTCTGGTTTTTCCTCTCACTCTCACAGAGATGTACACTCTCTTGTATATGTACATCTCTTGTATATCACTTATTCTTCATTTCTTGTATTGCTCTCTCTCTATTTAAACTCTCCCCTCAGCCTCTCCATTTAAACACTGAAGAGAAGGTGGAAAAGTTGGTTGGCCTTGCACATGGCCAGCTGTTCCTTCACTTTCGGTGGCTGGCTTGTTGGTTGGCACATTCTTGCTCATTTTTCCCCACATGGCCAACTCATTTGCATATAGAGAAAATGATCACCCCTCACATGGGGTGATGTCCAACAAATCACCCCCTCAACCCATGTGAGGTGATCCACAATAGCATCCCCTGCCTGGAGTGCCCTGCACCCCCTCACTAGGGTGCCATGTAAAGCTTACTTTGCAACTTTTTGTGATTGCATCTCTCCTTTCCATGCAGTCTTGGAAAGATCGCAATATGTCTCTAATTTAGGAGCAAAGGAAACTCTTTTCTTCCCGGGGATGTACTTTGCTGTCTTGGTCTCTTTGCTCTGAGCTTTCTTCAAGATTGGCTGCAATGGCTCCGTTTTATGCACCTTCGAACTACCTCCATGCGTTCTTGTACACTTTGGTTGCCATGTTTGCTGAGCCCTATGTCTTTTCGATGTGTGTTGTACTTCTTTCTCGGTAAGTGACAGTAGCTCCTTCTGTCACAACCTCTTCAACAAGTCTGTACAGATTCCCCTCTTAGTTGTCCATGCAGCATCACCGTATCTCCATGGATAACTTTGAGATTTCCTTTACTAGATAAGAAGCTGTAAACCTTCAAGTCTAGCAAACTTAAGGAAATTAGATTCTTCTTCAGTCTCGACACATGTCGGACTCCATCCAACGTGAAAATTTGTCCATCTTCCATTTGAAGCCGTACTGTTCCCATGCCAACAATCTTACTCACAGTGTTGTTAGCCACACAAACAATACATCCGTCCTTCGCTTAGTAGGTGGAAAAAAGTGTCATGTCCATGCATATATGGTATGTACTTCCAGAATCTAAAATCCAATCAGGTTTTCATCAAACTCGACGAAACTGTAAATGCATACTCATTCTCAGCATTCACTACAGCAACGACATTTGATGAGCTTGCCAGTTCATTGTTTTGCCTTGTCCTCTCCTTGAGCTTTGCACAGTCTTTGATGTGGTGATCCTCTTGATCACAGTAATAGCACTTTTTCCTGTAACTTGGCCTTGATTGCGAACGTCCTCTAGATTTGTATCTACCCCGTCTATCATTGGACCTGCCTCTGCCTTGCTCATTTTCTGATGTAACCATAGCATTTCCTTCTAGGTACTTGCTACTTTCCTTTTTCTTCATTGCCTCATGAGAAATAAGCGTAGTAACCACCTCATCCGGTCCAAGAGTATCCTTCCCGTACAATAGAGTAGTCCTGAGATGCTCATATGATGAAGGTAAGGAGACCAGCAAGATAATAGCTTTATCTTCCTGCTCGGTCTTCACCCCAATAGTGTCCAATTCCATTGTGATCCTGTTGAACTTGTCTCCTTACAATCCACCCCCATAAGGCTGCACGTCCTCGTGCAGTAGCCTGCCAGCTCGTAAGCCCGCCCACATGCACCGAGAGACGCCAAGGGCCCACACTCGGTACTCCGGAGAGTCGGCTTTGATACCATTTGTAACGCCCCGACCCTTCACACGTCATCGATATTGTCCGCTTTGGGCCACGCCCGCACGGATTTATTCTTCCCAGTGGGTCACCCATCCCAGAACTACTCCAGCCTAAGCACGCTTAACTGGGGAGTTCTAATAGGGATTTCACCACTTGGGAAAAGGCCTCGATGCTATATAAGGGTCCAGGTTTTTACTTTTATAGCCCAGGAACTCCCCCTCCATTCCCGATATGGGACACCGGGGCCTTACACCGCCCGCAGCCCAGGGCAGGCCTTGCCCAGCTCGGCCCATTGACAATGTGAATATTCACATTGACATGTTAACATTCACATTGATAAGAGTGTAAAATTGGCCCGCAGCCCGTGGGCGTCTCGAAGCCTGACCGCAGCCCGAGGCGGGCTTGGCTCGACCCGTGACAATGTGAATATTCACATTGACATATTGACATTGACATTGACATTGATAGGAGTGTAAAATTTGCCCGCTGCCCGAAGCTCGCCCGCGGCCCGGGGTAGGCCCGGCCCGACCCGTTGACAATGTGAATATTCACATTGACATGTTAACATGCACATTGATAGGAATGTAGAATTAGCCCGCCACCCGTGGGCTACTCGAAGCCCGCCCACGGCCTAGGGCAGACTGGTTTGGGTCCTGGCCCAAGCATGTTCGAGACCTTAGGCTAGGGCCTAGGTCATCACTTTGAAGCCCGGCCCGGCCCATCGGCCCGCTTAAGGCCCATTCAAGGCTCGGTCTGAGGCCCAGCCCGCTTGAGGCACAATGTCTTTTTTTGTGAAAAATAATAAAATTTTGGTAGAAAAAATTAAAAAGAATTAAAAAAAAATGGCCAGGCCCGCCCAAGCCCGGCCTAAGCTCGAGCCTAGGCCTAGGCCCACTAGCCCGACCCGAGGCTGTCGTCTTCGGGCCGCGGGCCAATTTTACACTCCTATCAATGTGAATGTTAATATGTCAATGTGACTATTTACATTGTCACGGGCCGAGCCGGGCCCGCCCCACGCAACAAGCGGGCTTCGGGCCGCCCATGGGTCGCGGGCCAATTTTACACTCCTATCAATGTGAATGTTAATATGTCAATGTGAATATTCACATTGTCACGGGCCGGGCCGGGCTCGCTTCGGGCCGCCCATGGGAGACGAGTCAATTTTACACTCTTATCAATGTAAATATTAACATATCAATGTAAATATTTACATTATCAATGGGCCAGGCCCGCCCCCGCAACGGACGGGCTTCAGGCCGCCCACAGGCCGCGAGCCAATTTTGCAGTCCTATCAATGTGAATGTTAATATGTCAATGTGAATATTCACATTGTCACGGGCCGGACCGAGCTCACCCCCGGGCCGCCCACAGGCCGCGGGCTAATTTTACACTCCTATCAATGTGAATGTTAACATGTCAATGTGAATATTCACATTGTACATGGGTCGGGCCCCTACACATTGACGATATGAATATTCACATTGACGGTGTGAACATTCACATTAGGGGCATTTTGGTAATTATGTCACCCATAGGACTTATTGAAATATAAGAAAATAATATGAACTAAATAGAACATAAGTAGATGAAAATGGTATTTTGGTCTTCTTATCTCAAATAGGACCTAATGGAATAGTCAAAAAGAATATGGATTGGATGGAACATAAGTAATTAAAGATGGATTTATGAAAAAAGCTCCCTAAATTTTAATTAAAAAGTGCATATGGTGCATATCTTTTTAAGGATGTGCACCATAATATTTGCCTTGAATTATAAATAGGCTTCGTTTGACTAGGATTTTTTGGACTAAAAAAGTACAAAAAAATAAAATAAACTAAATAAATTAATAAAATAAAATGTCACATTCAAATCATAAATTAAAATGATGTTTGCGGATATTTTTTAGGAAATTTGGCTATAAACCCCCTTTACCTTCCTTTCATTGTTAAAAGGACTAAGAAAAAAATTATACTTTCTAAATCCCCTCATAATTATAAAATCTTGCATAAAGGACAAAATTTATTATTTAAATATTTTATTAGACTATTATATCCTCAACTAAATTTTTCCACCTTTTCCACCCACTCTCTCCTCACCTTCTCTGTCTCTCTCCTTCCTCTTTCCTTTCTGACTTTGTTCTCCGCCGACGTGCTCCTCCTTCCAGATCTGAAGCTCTGTTTCTCGACAATTTTGGTAACTTCTTCTTCTTCGGCGATGATAGCAACGTCATCGTCATCACTCTCCTAGCCAAGTCCAGTCAGTTATCAGGCGAAACTCTGGCGATCAACAATGCCGAAACCGATCTCTACGATGAACTCATCAAGAACATCGGGAATATGTAAATCAACTACAGGCCGAAAAATTGTCCTCTGGTGCCGAATTGAAGGAGATCGTCTACGAGAAGAAACAGATCGTCTCTGAAT